TGGACAGTGCACATCCTAATCTACTTACTCTTACAAATTCATGACGATGGATTTAAGTTTTTTTTTTAATATGTTAAGTAATATATTTTTGTTTTCATTTACTGGAGTTTGCAAAACATTGTCGCTTTAAATATACTGTAGTAATAACAAGGTCCAGAAAATTTCCCTGGGAACAAAACTTGGACATGACGTGAGTGTGTCAACTCTCACTCCAGACACCCTGAGGGCCTTAACATACTGTCTAGTATTGTGTTCACTGCAAGTTGTTTGTATTGTACATCTAAGTACGTGCGTGCGTGCGTACACACACACATACACACAGTATAGATTTTGGGTTGACTGGTCGAGAAGCGACGTAGAAGTCCTCGGGGCCAGCAGTGGAGTTTTGAGCCATAGTAAATTTTAAAACCCTGGCTCGAAATTCCTTATACAGTAAGTATACACCGACTTACTAAGCTCATAGTAAAGTTGATATACATCTTTTAGCTACATGATAGCGACCCAGAAGGACTAAGTTAATGATCGCGCAACTTTATTCAGTCTATGGGTTAATGGTAGCCTATATCCCACCCAGGAAAAATGAGCGCAGGTCCAGCCTCACACCAATGACCATTCTTTGTGAGCCACTTAAAACTTTCTCGCCCACAATATTGTTGTTCTAACATCGCTCCACAAAGAAGGTGAAATCGCTGAACTTTCGACGGCTTTCTCAAAATCAAGGACGAACCCCGTGACTCTGATAAACACTTAGGTAATATTGGGACTGAAATTTAGCTCTCATTGAACGGAAAAGTTGGACCCCCCGCCCAACACACCTGGCCAGTACAGAAGGTTTATAGCGGCCTAATCTGCAACAATATGCCACCGGCAAAGGAAAGCGTGCCTTTTTAGAGCACACAAAACACATCGACGTGACCTAAATTATAAAATTGGTGGCTGGGCTCCACCACAGAGCCCATCAAACACTTATTGACAGCCACGACAGATACGGCTCCTTCACCTGGAGTCTTCTTCCAATACTCCCGTCTTATATATCCAAAATAACTCTAAACATAATTCATAACCCTCACAGTTATCAACTAATGTTGGGCTCATCAGGTAAGTCGTTAATTAATTGGTGTCCTACAGTTTACTGCGAAAGAATACCCTTTGGCTATCTATATCTTTTGTGGATCGTCGCCAGAACAAGGGCGCAAAGATTTTTCTTAAAGAGCGTTATTTTTTATTCTGCATCACCAGCTAAAACTATACTGTATGTATGTATGTATGTATGTATGTATGTATATATATATATTTATATATATATATATATATATATATATATATATATATATATATATATATATATATATATATATATTTCATGTAGATCCACAATGGAAACGTGCCACACATTGCCAAGTGTCCGGGGAATTTGAACTACAACTGCAGCTACGTGTTGGGAGCTGTGAGGTTGGTCGACACTCTTGCCATAAGTTATTTATTCTTTTTGTAATATCTACATAAAAATGCTTGCAGATATGGTAATAATTATAGTTTATAATTTTAAAACGTTCTCTATATAAACATAACCGAACCGAACCATAACCCAAGTTAGTACATACTGATGCCATCATTCTTATCAACATAGCCTGTTCATACGTTGACATCGGTTCGAGCTAATCCACAATTATCCTCAAAACGATTAACAGACACTCACTTTTATACTGTACCGCATATAACACACACCCACACTAACTCTGGCTACAGTAAACTATGGAAACTTTCCCGATAATTCACAATGGCCGAGAAATCTTGATAATGGACCATAACTCATTTAACTAGGCGGTAATCTTGACACCTTTGGCTATACATTGCAACTTATGGTAATTAAAGCTACAGACCTCATGGTAATTAAAGCTATACAACTTATCGTAATTAAAGCTATACAGTACAGCTCATGGTAATTAAATCTATACAACTCATGGTAATTTAAAGCTATACAACTCATGGTATTTAAAGCTATACAACTCATGGTAATTTAAGCTATGTGATTTATGGTAAGTTAAGCTGTATAAATGCGGGTAAACCATGGTAGTAGTCAGCCAGGAAATCTGAGAACTTATAATTTACTTTATGGCAAACGAACAATTCCAGTGAAGGACGGAAAACTCATATTCCAAGTAAGAGAACTGAGAGAGAGAGAGAGAGAGAGAGAGAGAGAGAGAGAGAGAGAGAGAGAGAGAGAGAGAGAGAGAGAGTGTGTGTGTGTGTGTGTGTGTGTGTGTGTGTGTGTGTGTATGTGTGTGTGTGTGTGTGTGAAAAGAAAACCAGGAAGAAGGAAGGAGTGGAAGGAGGTAGGTGAGAGGGAGATGAGCCAGCCCCCTGCATCACTACCTCCCGTCAAGTTATGAATAATGTGAGTCACCACACCAGGAACTGTTTGCTGGCACTGGCACTTACAGACAACCGGGGCACACATACACCACTACAGGACAGAGAGAGATACAAGGATGAAAGAGGGAGGGAGGGTAAAAAATATGGAGGTGTGAGGGCAGGGGAAGGAGAGGGCGATTCAAGGATGGAGGAGAGAGGAAGGGGAGGGAGGGAGGAAGAGAGATAAGGATGGAGAAGAGGAGATATACAAGGAGGAATGAATGGGGGGAGGGAAGAAGGGAGAAATACCAGGATGGAGGAGAGAGATGAGGGATGCTGGTGGGAGGGAAGACGTAATAGGATGTGGGAGACAAAGGGTGGATGGTACAACAATCTTCCCCACTTGAATACGAGCATTTCACCCCATGGGTACGATAACTTAACCTTGTCATGCTACCACTAAATCACTATTGTCTAGCTAGAGACTCTCAAAGGTTCGTGCAATGAATAATTTCGTTAATTTAAATCGAAATAATACATTTAACTTAATGACTTCAAACATTAAAACACCAACAATACCAGTACAATATACAACTTTAAGATTAGATAAGAGACTGGCTTAACTACATTTGTTCACCTAACGCCAATCAGCAGACGAGATAACATTTGAATTTATTTTTACGTTAATGTATACTAATTAAGGTAGAAACTACGATTATGCTGTTTTTTTAGCTTAAGTCAGACAACTGATTTATTTACGTCCTTTAATCATAAGGAATATTCATCGTGGAGTACAACAAATTAATAATAAACAAACGAAATGAACTTCCACAGAAACATCACTTTACCCTGTCCAACAAACGTAACTTTTGTAACACCATAACCATGATGTACTCACATAATAAGGCGGTAAGTACAATAAGCAGCCCTCAACACCACGATACAATATTCAAATGCAATAATAAAAATATTTAAAGGCTATTAACCTGCAATAACAGCCTAGGATAGCCATTACAGCTCTCAGTAAATATTACCAAGATTTACTACAGTATTATCACACTGAAAGGAAGTTGGACATACCCCTCAAGACTTCCAAAAACAGATGATGTATATTTCACTTTATGTTGTCCTCGTTTTAGCTTCCCCTCCTGCCACTCTTGTGGATTTTGACAATAAAGAGGTTTAGAATGGTTCCCTCCAGCTCTGAGATATGGTCGATTAACTTCAAGTTTTCACCGACGCCCCAGTCCAGTTACACATTGTCATTTCACAATAAAAAATCCATTAGGCTATGTTTACCTTATCAAGTCAGTCAAAAATATATGGGTGATAAATACAATGCTGAATAATCACCCGATAGACATCAAGTGTCAGGTTTACATCAAAATTTTGTGTAGAGTTTATGCAACGTCACAAAAACTGGGTTACCCCTCTGAGTACGGGAACTTACAATTGGTTAAGGTAGGTTACGGTTAAGGAAGATAGGTTACGTGTCAGAAATTGGGAGGCCAGTTGCAAATGCCCATATGACAGGTAGAACGTCAACAGTGCCCTAAATCGTAAGGCTACCCAGTGTTTGGGCGTTTTGTGGTTTAAAAAAAAATGTTATACGGTACCTTCCGCGACGTACAAAATGTTAAAGATTCTGTATGATATAATTGCACTAGATGGCAACTCTACCGTCAGGGTAATTTGCTTAGCTTTTATTTATTTTAAAATTGATCAATACACGATGGACATACAGACAGACTGAGGGACGTTAATAGTTTTATAAAACAATAAATTTAAGACAAAACATTATCATTTACATAATTACAAGTTAAACATTTCTTGGTTAAATCAACTAAATGCTTACCACTATTTGTTTACCTGCACAGCCATGTTAAGTACCGTGATGAATCACTGTGAACGTGTATGACGACTTTCATTAATAAATATATACAGTATCAGTAAATAAGAGATAACGTCACAATCCTTATATATTTATGTAATTTCCTGAAACACTGGGTGGAAACCAAACGTACCGGACATGGTGACCACAAAACCTAAATCAAATACTGTAATACAGAAATGATTCTGCACAATAACCGATTTTTTTCGATCATAAAGTTTTTTTTTTGGGGGGGGGGCAAATGCTAAGTCCCGTATATATAATTTTATAATTTAGGATTATCTACTTCAGTTAATTAAATACAACTGTTTTTAAGGACGCCTAGAAAACATTAGATATAATCAAATGTCCATCGAGTCTATCAGCCACAATAAACATACAGTATACTGTACTTCCACAATGCATCACTATTTTGTTTTCCAGAGACGCACATGGGCAAGGTGCCAGCGGCCACCACAAAAGATAGCTGGATCGTACACAACCCGAATATACAGTATATACCAACTTAATATGAATCATTGGAATACTGCGTTGAGCAAACATATAAAACATATCAGAGAGGTATGTTAAACTAAACGTTACCAAATATGTCGTGACAAACATACCCACAGTGGGCAACATTGTTAGTAGTGTTGCCACCTTCCACCAACCATTTCACGACTTAGCATAAAAAACTTCATACACGAGTTTTAACCATGGCCGTTTAATACATGTACCAACCCTACACTATTATTAATTTATCTGGTATATTTACCTGGCAAAGGGAGTTTGTTCCACGTCATAGTGGTCAGAGATGGGCTCCCGGCTTATGAGCTTGTCGAGGGCCTCTTGGGTAAGTTCTAAGTAACCTTTATGGGCGTCGAGAACAACCACGCCCGCGCCCACGGTCTTCATGTCTACTGGGGGCTGATGCTGCCTCTTAGTCACACACAAGATAAATCCCAAGATAATAATACCAGTTCTGAATGGCAGAAGGAGTTGTCCAGTGTTCTTGTGGTCGTCTGTGACTCGTGATGGAATAACATAAAATGTTCGTCTTAAATCAAACTCCACTTTCACTTGTTATCATCAATGAACGGTTTTCATTTGGCCTGATTTTGTTACAAAACCAGAGCTAATAAACATATCTTAGGCAACTAACTCTCTTAACATGAAAATCACAATTACGACGGAACTGTGACCAGCGGTGTTATGTTACATAGTTCACCGGAGACTTATATGGAAATGAGGTTTCTGAAAAGTTCCTCAAGTGGTAGGTGAAGCCTGGAGTGTCAATCACAAGTTATGGGTCTACACATGGTCCCAACGGTCCTGCCACCCACGTTACCAGATCACTGTACACACGTTCACTGAATCCATTCCAAGTGTTGAGGGACGAGAGCAGGTGGCGTATGAGACACGTGGGTGAGTGTTTGGCAGTTTAAAAGACACTTGTAAGTTGAGGTGTGTGGGGGTTGAACGGGTATTCTTCAAGGCTGCCTCAACCACCCTCATAGTCTCCATCCACTCACTGTCTTCCTCACCAATGTTTCTCTCTCATCACACTGTAAAGTTTCCGGCACCACATGATAAATACTGCCACATCATAATGGTTGTTAGCACATTGTTACCACACATCCCTCTATGGTAGTTAGTAAACGGGGGTCCGCTGGTTGCTGGCAACACTGCAAACCATCCAACTTCTCTATGGCATTTAAACTTGAACGATCTTCCTCTCTTAACTCGTTTCCAATTAACTTTTTCAATCTTTCACAGGCTGGATTATCCTCACAACGTCGCTCACACTAATTGCCACCACAATAATTGCACAATTTGTCACAAGATAAATATTTTTTAATTGTAGTGTTTCATGGGTGGCCGGAAGACACGTGATAATATCCTCTTCCCACCCCGGCATCAGCGCTTCTAATTCTCGTGCGCTTGGCCGCTTGTACCCACGCTGCCAGCGCCGCCACCCACACTGTCATACCGCACCACTCCTGGGATTCATTCACCATAGGATATCCCAATTTGGGCAGAGAATGATAAGTGACCTGTGTTATACTATAACACAACTTCCTTTATATTTAGATCAAACTATCACACTGACACAGTGAAATGTCAGAACACACAAGACTGACGTAGATTATTCCGTTCCGTCGTTCGAAAACTTTACAGGGGTTAAGTAAATTATGTATAGTAGCACAGCGCGTTACAGTAAGGATATATTGTACACATTATGATATATATCTTACGGTAAATAGGGATAATCACTAGATAAGCAATAAAATACAACTAAAAATTTTAGACAACTTTTGGTTTTCACTGCTGGTAAAAGTTACTAAAAAAATAATACTAAGTGTAAATTTGGTTCCCTTAATATTGATAATATTCCTTCATAGTATATATATATATATATATATATATATATATATATATATATATATATATATATATATATATATATATATATATATAGAGAGAGAGAGAGAGAGAGAGAGAGAGAGAGAGAGAGAGAGAGAGAGAGCATACCTATTATTATTATTATTATTATTGTTATTATTATTTTATGATTAATTGTTGTTCTTGTATTATAACAAGCTTTTGGACTACAGTATCTTTAATTATCTTTAATTTTCTATCTATACGAAATTTTCCTTTTATAAAACACTTTACTATACAAATGTAACTTAAAGAATTAAGCGATGATCTAAACTGTACAAGATAATCATTAACATTGCATACGAATTATGTTTTTCACCTGGACTTATTAAATTACACTGACGCCTCTTGGAGTTAAGGCTACGGAATCCTAACACTGATGCCTCTTGGAGTTAAGGCTACGGAATCCTAACACTGACGCCTCTTGGAGTTAAGGTTACGGAGCCTTAACACTGAGGGGTTTACCGCTTCGTTAACGGATCTTGCTGGGGAAATACCAAGATGACTGATATATACAAGAGCCCGTTGTGTCCAATACTATCAACAGCGTGGAACAGTACAGTGACTGACCACCCGATCAACTAGTGAGCTGACCACTGACGAACTCGATAAGTGATGTGATACATGGACGGATCTTCAACACCAGTGTTCAGGGGAAGTTGACGGAGGTGTGAAAACTGCTGACGTAGGAACACACATATCCCATTTACTTCATAATATTCATCCTCCAGTTTCACAGCAAATGCTATAAATATCACACACACAAACACTTCCAAACTATCTACTTCTGAAGTTATTATTATTCCCACTGCATGATTACTCTTATTTGTTTTCCCTGGTATCATAAACAATGACATGTAATATTAACATTTAATATTACCCGACATTATTATTATTATTATTATTATTATTATTATTATTATTATTATTAATATTATTATTATTATTATTATTATTATTATTATTATTATTACTGTACACCACTACACACACAGACACTCCGCCAGCATCTCTGACTCACTCACTCACCGTTTTTTATCCAAGTGAGGACTGCCTCCTTATACGGGCTCCCAGCAACTCTCCCCGCAGTCCATGTTAAGCCTGGGCGCTCCACGCCACGCCCACACGCCACACCGCCACGCCCACACGCTCATTACTCTTACACAGGTGTAGCGGACAGCGTGTGTGTGTGTGTGTGTGTGTGTACTGTAACATAAAAAAAACTTGTTGTTTTATGTATTTTTCTGCGTTTCAACATCTACGGTCTTTTTGCACGTACTCTACGTAAGTCCATACACTTAACAACAACTATTAAAATGTAAGGACAGTAATCGACATGCAGGTGAGAGTGAGGTGTAAAATGTGAGAGTGAGGTGTGAGAGTGGTTTGTGAGAGTGAGGTGTGAGGTGTGAGAGTGGGTTGTGAGAGAGAGGTGTGAGGTGTGTGAGTGAAGTGTGATGGAAGAGTGAGGAGTGAGTGAGGTGTGAAATGTGAGTGAAGTGTGAGGTGTGATAGTGAGGTGTGAGGTGTGTGAGTGGAGTATGGGATGGAAGAGTGAGGTGTGAGTGAAGTGTGAAATGTGAGTGAGGTGTGGGGTGTGAGAGTGGGTTGTGAGAGAGAGGTGTGAGGTGTGTCAGTGAAGTGTGAGATGGAAGAGTGAGGTGCGAGTGAGGTTTGAAATGTGAGTCAGGTGTGAGGTGTAATAGTGAGGTGTGAGGTGTGTGAGAGTGAGGTGTTAGATGGAAGAGTGAGGTGTGAGTGATGTGTGAAGTGTAATAGTGAGGTATGAAAGTGAGGTGTGAGGTGTGACAGAGTGATGTGTGCGAATGAGGTGTGATGTGTGCTAGAGTGAGGTGTGAGAGTGAGACCTGAGGAATAAGGATTTAGCTGTGAGTGTGGTGTGAGGTGCGAGGCATGAAGAGTGATACTTGAAGAATGATTTGTGAGAGTGAGGTCTGAAGGAGTGAGGTGTGAAGTGTGACTGTAGTGTGAGAGTGAGGCGGAAGAGTGAGGCGTGAGAGTGAGGTGTGAGGAATAAGACTGAAGCCTGAGAGTGAAGTGTGAGGAGTGAGGTGTGACATGTGAGAGTGAGGTGTGAGGAGTGAGGCACAAGTGTGAAGTGTGAGAGTGAGGTGTGAGGAGTGAGGTGTGAGGAGTGAGGTGTAAAAGTGAGGTGTAACAGCGAGGTGAAAGAGAAAGGGGTGAGGAGTGAGGTGTAAGTGTGAGGTGTAAGAGAGAGGTGTGAGAGTGAGGTGTAAGAGTGAGGTTGAGAGTGAGGTGTAGGAATGAGGTTTGAGAATTAAAGTGTGAGGATTGAGGTGAGAGGAGTGAGGGGTGAGGAGTGAAGTGTAAGTGTGTGGTGTAACAGTGAGGTGTGAGAGTGAGGCGTAAGATTCAGGTATAAGAGTGAGGTGTAAGACTAAGGTGCGAGAAGGGAAGTGTAAGAGTGGGTTGTGAGGAGCGAAGTGTGAGATTGAAGTGTGAGAGTGAGGTGTGAGGAGTGAGGTGTGAGAGTGAGTTGTGAGAGTGAGAGGTGAGGTGTGAGGTGTGAGAGTTAGGTGTGATGATTGATGTGAAAGAGTGAGATGTGAGGAGTGATGTGTAAGAGTGAGGTGTGAGAGTGAGTATGAGGATTTAGGTGTGAGAGTTGAAGTGTGAGAGTGAGGTGTGAGGAGTGAGGTGTGAGAGTGTGGGGGAGGAGTAAGGTGTGAGGAGTGAGGTGTGAAGAGTGAGGTATAAGAGTGAGGTGTGAGGAGTGAGGTGTTAGAGTGAGGTGTCAGAGTGAGGTGTAAGGAGTGAGGTGGAGTGAGGTGAAAGGAGTGAGGGTTGAGGAGTGAGGTGTAAGAGTTAGGTGTAAGAGTGACGTGTGAGGAGGAGGTGTAAGAGTGAGGTGTAAGAGTGAGGTGTGAGATGTTAGGAGGAGGTGTAAGGAATGAGGTGTAACAGTGGGGTAAGTGAGGAGGAAGGAAAGGAGTGAGGAATGAGGAATGAGGTGTAAGAGTGAGGTGTAAGAGTGAGGTCTGAGGAATAAGTCGAGAAGTGAGATGTAAGAGTGAGTGGTAAGAGGAGGTGTAAGAGGGAGATGCAAGGAGGAGATGTAAGGGAGTGAGGTGTAAGAGGAGGTGTAGGAGTGAGGTGGGAAGGAGTGGGGTTGGAGGAGTGAGGTGTAAGAGTTAGGTGGAGGACGGATGAGTGTAGGAGTGAGGTGTAAGAGTGAGGTGTAATGAGCGAGGGATGAGGAGTGAGGTGTAAGAGTGAGGTGTAAGAGCGAGGTGTGAGAAATTAAGTGTGAGGAGTGAGGTGTAAGACTAAGGTGTAAGAGCGAGATGTGAGAGTGAGGTGTAAAAGTGAGGTGTAAGGAGTGAGTTCTAAGAGTGAAGTGTAAGAGTGAGGTGTGAGAAGGGAAGTGTAAGAGTGAGGTGTGAGAAGGGAAGTGTAAGAGTGAGGTGTGAGGAATGAGGCGTAACAGTGAGGTATGAGGAGTGAAGTATAAGAGTGAGGTGTCAGAGTGAGGTGTGAGACTGAGGTGTGAGGAATGAGTTGTGAGGAGTGCGGTGTTAGAGTGAAGTGTACGAGTGAGGTGTAAGAATTAAGGTGTGAGAGCGAGGTGTATGAGTGAGGTGTATGAGTGAGGTATAAGAGTGAGGTGTATGATTGAGGTATGAGAGTGAGATGTGAGGAGTGAGGTGTAAGAGTTGGGTGTAAGAGGAGGTGTAAGAGTGAGATGTGGGGAGGAGGAGGTGCAAGAGTGAGGTGTAAGAGTGAGGTGTAAGAGTGAGATGTGAGGAGTGAGGTGTAAGAGTGAGGTGTAAGAGTGAGGTGTAAGAGTGAGATGTGAGGAGTGAGGTGTAAGAGTGAGTTGTGAGGAATAAGTCGTGAGAAGTGAGATGTAAGACTGAGTAGTAAGAGTGAGATGTAAGAGTGAGATGTGAGGAGTGAGGTGTAAGAGTGAGGTGTAACAGTGAGGTGTAAGGAGTGGGGGTGTGATTGTAAGAGGAGGTGTGAGCAGTGAGGTGTAAGAGTGAGGTGTAAGAGTGAGAGGAAGGAGGAGGGGAGGAGGAGGTGGAGAGGAGGTGTGTGATGAGGAGGTGATTGATGTAAGAGTGAGGTGTGTGAGGAGCGAGGTGTAAGAGTGATGTATAAGAGGGAGGTGTATGAATGAGGGATGAGGTAAGAGTGAGGGGATGAGTGAGGTGTGATGAGGGAGGTGTGTGATTGAAGAGGGGAGGGAGGAGGTAAGAGGAGGTGTGGGAGAAGGAGGTGTAAGAGGATGAGGAGGAGGTAAGAGGAGGTGTAAGAGAGGTTAGGAATGAGGTGGGAAATTAAGGTGAGGAGGAGGTAAGAGGATGTAAGAGTGAAGTGTGGAGGGGTGAGGTAGAGGAGGTGAGGGAGGAGGTGAGAAGTGAGGTACGAATGAAGCGGAGAGGATGGATGAGGAGGAGGTGTAAAAGGAGGTGTAAGAGTGAGGTGTAAGG